AGGGTGCTGCTTTTATGGTCAAGTAGCAAGTCAAATAAATAAGTATTTTCTTGTTTATTTTCTGTAGTGTTACTGTTTTGTTTCCATATTATGATTTTCCCAACATTATTTTTACTGGAAATTTATAACTGCCAATAAGTTGAACTGAGAGGCTTAATTTTACCTTCTTTGTATATTTTGAGACTCAGTGGTTGGAGCCATATGTATAATATTTACATGCATATGTACCACCTTGGATAAAATTATCTCATCTGCTTGTAAATCTTTTCTTTTACCACCTATGCTTTTGAATAATCATGCTTGATCATTTTGAGGATTCTGCTTTCTTTCCCCCTATAAGTGTGATTTAGTGTTCCATTATTTTCACCCCATCCCCTTATCTTTTATCACTTTTCATTTACTCCCTCATTGATCTTGAGGTGTACTGTTTACATTTGTCAAGTTCTGTATACTGCTTTACTCACTTATGATTTGAATATATTCTCCCATTGCACCTGTTGTTTTGTTAGATTGATAAATATCTGTTTTCGATCCCCATTCACCTCTGGTAATTTGTTTTTATGACAGTTGTAGTAAGGCTGCTGATGGTGAAGGGTTTCTGAATATATCTTGTTTATTAAGGGACCTTCCAGCATTCTTTGTCTTGTACTGTTGGGAGATAGGAGTTCGAAATGGCTGGCTTGTTAGCTGGTGAGCCCTCCCTTCATGGAACACCTGAAGGAGTTCACAAGGTTTTCCACGAAAGGACAGAAGAAGGCAGTGGACGCTGGTATTTCTCTAGGAAGGAAATTGAAGAAAATTCCCCTTCTAGACAAGATGGCATTGATTTGAAGAAAGAGACCTACCTACGCAAGTCTTATTGCACATTCTTACAAGATTTAGGCATGAGGCTAAAAGTGTGAGTTACTTTTCTTGAAATTGCATATGCTTGCATAATTCAGCATTTGACTCTGGGACATCGTGTTTCGTTATTTTTTTAGTTTTTTTGCCAAGATGAGATTGTTTTCTCCGGCCGTAGAAGTTAAAAAATGTTAGCTCTAGGCCTCTTGTCTCTTTAGTGGTTTCCCCTTTCCATCATTTCTCTCTCGAGCCATTTATTTATTTATTTATTTATTTTCGTTTTTCTAAAGCATGTTCATCCATGTTTATGCCGCAATGGTAACAATAACAATTTCCTTTGTGAAGAGTGAAGACATGCTGTGGTACAAGTCATTCACATATGAAATAGATTAACATGGACAGGGTCACACGGTTTGTTATGCATATAACTCAGATGCATGGAAACATTTGATTATAGTTGGTAAAGAGTAAATAGATTAACATGGACAGGGTCACACGGTTTGTTATGCATATAACTCAGATGCATGGAAACATTTGATTATAGTTGGTAAAGAGTAAATATGTAGGTATATGATTGGTGCGAACTTTATGGTGCTTGTTGTTTTGAATCTATGATAATGTTATGTTGATTTTCACTCCTGTTTTGAGCTTTTTGCATTCATCATTATTGTAAAAGTTGAAATTTGCATGCTAATACATTTGTGGATGTGTTTTAATAATGCAGGCCGCAGGTAACGATTGCTACAGCAATCATATTTTGTCATCGGTTTTTTCTACGCCAGTCTCATGTGAAAAATGAGCGTAGGGTGAGCCGAATTTTCGCTTTGTGAAGTTATTACTTAATAGCTGATAAGTATCCTGTAAGTGTTCTATGGACAATGACTGTGGTCATGCTTATGATAATAATTTTATTATATTTAATTTGCACATATGATGTTTTTGCTTTATCCATAAAGTTCTCGGCAACTGTATTGCTTTGCATGCTGTTTGTGGATGAATACGACTGAGGCATCATTTATTTAATGGCTTTCGTTATTTTGTATTCAGTAAACTACTCAAACATGAATTGAGCGCTTATAACCTCTTGTATTGAAATAACCCAGTATGCATGTTCGTACCTAATAAGTTTCATTTTGAGATCAGAGAGGCAAATTTGGAGAATGTAGAGATTGTTGTATTCTGTTTAAATGACACCATCTTTTTATGATTTTAACGATTAATCATCAGTGCTGTGCAAAAGGTGGTTATAATGTTTCTGGCTGTCTGTGGACATAGGGAACAATATGGATGAGATTATAGACACGTCCTGTGTCTGGCTGTTTCCTGGTGTTCGCAGTTTTCTTCTGTGAAGGATAAATTTTTTAAGAGCTTAACCTATTAAAACACTGGTCATTTGTGACCAATGCCATAAATAAAAAAATAAACTAGAATGATGAAATTCAGCAACATGTGGTGGAAAAAGTAGATGTGTTATTTATTCTGAACAATAGGTGGCAATGGCACTGTTTTTTATAAATAGTTAGCTTCTTTGATATGTACACATGATTGAATCTCTGACAGTCTGACTGGTATACCTTTGTTTGCGTACTTTCTACAGACCATTGCAACAGTATGCATGTTTCTCGCGGGTAAGGTTGAAGAAACTCCACGTCCTCTAAAAGATGTCATTCTTGTCTCATATGAAATCATACATAAGAAAGACCCTGCAGCTGTCCAAAGGATCAAACAGAAGGTTGTGTACTTTGTTCGTCTAGCTTTTTTGGGTTTACTTACCTTTGATGCTTCTTTACATTTTGTTTGTTTGATTATATCTTTTTTTTTCCCTGTTGGATTCCACACTGTCATTCAAGTGTCTTATTCTTTTGAATGATAGTTTGATATTCTATTCTATATTCAGGAGGTATATGAACAGCAAAAGGAACTTATTCTGCTGGGAGAAAGGGTGGTTCTCGGTACACTCGGTTTTGACCTCAACGTGAACCACCCGTATAAACCCTTGGTTGAGGCAATAAAAAAATTTAAGGTTGCCCAAAACGCCCTAGCTCAAGTAGCATGGAATTTTGTGAACGATGGGTATGATGTCGTATTTTTGAAATTTTAGTGCTTATCCATGGCCGCCATTCTATCTTTTGATGCTAGAATGCTGCGGCTATACAGGCTCCGGACATCCTTATGCTTGCAGTTTAAGCCCCACCACATAGCGGCGGGTGCCATTTTCCTTGCCGCCAAGTTCCTGAAGGTGAAGCTCCCGCATGATGGAGAGAAGGTCTGGTGGCAGGAGTTTGACGTCACCCCCCGCCAGCTGGAGGGTGGGTGTCCTTTAGCCTCCTTCCTTTGGTTGCTTTTACACTTGCGGTGTTGTATAATTACCCAGCCAACATCATGTACTGTGTATATTCTCTCTGGAAACCGCGCATGCTCTGCTTACTTGAGTTTAGGTTTAATTTACGAAAGTACCTCCTGGTGTTTACTTAATTTTCTCTCGGAATGTCATTTTCTTGACTTCAAATTAGGAGATAATAAATTGTACAAAAGGAAGGAGAATAGGGGAATGGGTCAGAATGATGCAATTGATTCGCTTGCAGTAAACATCTTGCTTTTTTATTTTCGAAAAAGTTCATATAAACATTGGACACTTTTGTTCCTTGCAGAGGTTAGCAACCAGATGTTGGAACTGTACGAACAAAACAAAGCGCCCCAGTCTCAGGCTGGCGAGGCTGAAGGCAGTGCTGGTGCCAGCGAAAGACCTCCTCCTTCGAAAAATGACGATCACGTCCCTAGCCAAAGCTCCTCCCACGGTGGGTCGACCGCGAAACATTCCTCGTTGCCCGGCCACTTTAGAACCGCCCCCGACCAGGCCCATGCCAGTAGTTACAATGGGCCCCTGAAGTCCGCCCAGGCCCGACACGACTCAGAGATCAACAGCACCACCACGCCAGCTGGCATGGAAGAAAACGAGGTTAACGACCAGCGTGAGGACGAGCAGGGTCGAGCTGAGAGGAGGGACGCTAGTAGCAATAGCAATAATAACCCAGTAGAAATGAAGGATAATAAATTCCAGGGAAAGACGTCTTCGCCCCAGGATGCGAACAAGAAGCTCGACCGGGAGAAGCTGAAAGCGGCCTTCGAGAGGAGGAAAGCGCGCGGGGACATAACCCGCAAGGCAGACCCTGTGGATGAGCTCGAGCGGGAGCTGGAGGACGTTGAGGTCCCGACCGATAAACGGGAGAGAAAGTCAAACTGGTCAAAGCCCCCGGTGAATAGGTCAGCAGAACTTGATGGGGATGATTTTGATGCTGTTGAGGAGGGTGAAGTCGAGCCGTTTGATGACAAGAGGGAGCATCAATCGCCCAAGTTGAGCGCACGGAAAAGGAAGCCTGGGAGCCCATTGGATAAGCCGCTGGCCCATAAACAGGCCCACTATCCAGAGGATAGGAATGGGCTAGGGAGGTATTCGGAAAGGGACCACAAGAGGCACCTGCAGGAAAACCATGTCTGAGATTAAAGTAACTATGGATTTTGCTTGAGTTGGATTGTGGACTTGTGATGATTTGGCATTGGTGTGGTTTGGGGTTAAGGAATTCAAGACGTGGGTGGGAGTGGTTTTTATCAGTATTGGTAGGGTGATTGATTGGTGAACTTCTACTTGTGGGGATTTAGGACATGGCGTGAGGATGATCGATCGATCCATATACGGTGTAAAATTTGTCCTAGTGTTTATCATTTGAGGAAAAAAGAAACAAAAAAAAATTAAAATGTGGAATTTAAGTGCACCAGTCTATGGTGATTATCTAAGCTTTAGATTGAAGTTGTGTGGGGAAAAAAAAAAAAAAAAA